TAATGCCTAGAAGCACAGTGAAATCCATTATTAAGAAGTGGAAGGTATTTGGTACAACACAGACCCTTCCTGGATCAGGACGTCGCTCTAAACTGTATGAAAGAGCCAGGAGAAAACTGGTCAGAGAGGCAACCAAGAGGCCTACAACAACTCTGAAGCAGTAGCAGGAATTTATGTCAAAGAGTGGTTATTGTGTGCATGTGACAACAATATCAAAAATTCTCCACAAATGTGGCTTGTATGGCAAGGTTGCATGAAAAAAGCCTCTTCTTAAGAAAAGCAACATAAAGTCGAGACTGAGCTTTGCCAAAATGCACCTAGAAGATTCCGAGGCCACATGGAAAAAAGTGTTATGGTCAGATGAGAAAAAATTTGAATTATTTGGCCTCAACACCAAACGATATGTCTGGCGGAAATCCAATACAGCTCACTATCCAAATAACACCATACCTACCGTAAAACATGGAGGTGGAAATATCTTGTTATGGGGCTGTTTCTCTGCAGCAGGAACTGGAGCACTTGTCAGGATAGTTGGAAAAATGGATGGGGCAAAATACCGACAAATTCTTGAGGAAAATCTGCTGCCCTCTGCCAGAAAGTTATCATTGGGAAGAAGGTTTACTTTCCAACTTGACAACGACCCAAAGCACACAGCAAAACTGACCACACAATGGTTAAAGGAGAAAAAGGTGAATGTCCTGGCATGGCCAAGTCAGAGTCCAGACTTAAACCCCAATGAATATCTGTGGAATTACTTGAAGATTGCAGTCCACAAACGGACACCATCAAATTTAACTGAACTTGAACAGTTCTGCAAAGAGGAGTGGGCTAATATTGCAAAGTCTAGATGTGCAAAGTTAGTAGAAACGTATCCCAACAGATTAAAGGCTGTAATTAAAGCAAAAGGTTATTCAACCAACTACTGAAACAAGGGGGTGATTCTTTTTCCAACCCATTGATTTCGTTTTTATTTGTTCATTTTTTTTAGACATGTTGGTGTTATATATTTTGGTTGTGTGTTATAAGTTGCACCAAGTAAATACAGTTTGATAAAACAAAACTGTGTCTGTCTTCATTTCAGGATACAATGCAACAAAATGTAATTATTTTAAAGGGGGGTGGTTCTTTTCTATACCCACTGTAGCGACTGTGATGTTGTGCATTCGGTCAAGCAATCACACGACAACATTACAGTATCAGAGAGAGGTAAAAGCCTTCCTTTGTGCCTTTCCAGCTTGCCTTGTCTTTTGGATGCCCCAATTTCACTGTCACATGCATGTGGAGATCTGCTGACCTTGCGTTTTATCGATTTGGATGATGCTGCGGCTGACATAAGATTGGGTTTCATATTATGTAGCAAGATATTGATGTTCTCAGAGTAATACAATACACTGCTTTGTTGAATTTCCACTCTGTCTCATTTGCAATCATTTGCTGTTTCACAATAACCTAGATTCTGTAGCTTTAGTCTTTGTTGCAGTGTCCGAAGTACACACTTTATTGTACTGAATACGCACTTATAGTGTACAGTTTTTCAATCGTGATAGTATTTTTTTTTAAATACTTGATGATATAATATTAATTAAATAAAATACCAATTAAGTGTAGTTACTTTTGTAACTTTGTGTTGCCTCGCATTCTAAAACCACCATAGTAAAATCATAATGCTAGCATGCTTAATGTTAGTTTATATGCTGTTTACAACATATAGCTTCCTCCGTATAGATATAAACAGTGAAAATATTTAAAACCACTCAACTGTTTAAAGTCCAGAAGTTGCTGCAGAGTTATATTTCAGTACGATGATGTGTTTCCAACTGAAATGGAATATTGAGAAGGGGGTGGGGTTTTGTTTTTGTGCTTCTTCACTCATTTTTACAACAAATAAGGACTACCATTGCAGAGTGGAAGCAGACGTTCAGATTTTGATTTATTTCAGTGGATTAACGTGTTTTGGCAGATTAATTAAGACTAACCGTGTGAGCTTAATTGCAAAACAGTCATTGTAAATAATTTTCATGCTGACTTTAAACCGTTTGTAAAAGTTGCAGTTAAACACAGATTCTTTAATGATAAAGTTAGCATTTGGGTTGTTGGTATTAGGAAATATACTTATAAACATTGGTCGGTAAATAGCTGGTTAGTGTCATGCTGAATGTGTAACAGAGTTGATAATATTAGCGTTATTAGTTTGTTGTGTTGTTGTAACTCAACGTTGGGTCAAATAAGGAAAAACCTATCTGTTGGACATATTTTTTTTAGTTAAATTGAAATAATTAATCATAATATTATTAATAAATAATTAAAATAATAACATTTGAGTTTTACCATTTTTTTAATGCTTTCATTCAATCTCTGGGTCTGGCGGGAAAACTTTTAGCTGAGCAGAAATCATTGAATCTGATTTGACCATTAGCATCTCGATCATGAAAATTTGACAATTGTTCTGTTTAAGGCTTTACTATTCTATGGTTACATTGTGTGCTAAGACCAATAGAAAATTAAAAGTTGCTATTTTCTAGGCAGATATGGCTAAGAACTATAATTCCTGTAATAATCAAGCAACTTTACAGCTATGGCTATAACAGGTGCAATGATATTTTGCATCGCTTGAAAAAAGTCACTAGCTAGGTTACAGTGCTGTGAAATTGCGGCTGCTACAGTCATGGTACAGCAGCAAATTCCCTTGAATATTTGCCAGAATGAGAGTAAAGTTCTGAGACATAGCCTAGAAAAGGGCAACTTTTTATTTTACTTTACATCTTAGTACACATTGAAACTTCAGAAGAGTCAAGTTTTAAATAGCAAAATTATCAACATCGTTTTTTTTTTTTTTGAGATGCAAATGGTCAAATCCAATTGCATGATTTTATAAGTTAAGTTAAAAATGCTCCCACCCGATCTGTAGATCAGCTGAATGCATTAAAAAATTTGTTAAACTCAATGAATATGACATGAAATACATGGTATCCTGTAGTAAAATTATTTTAGAAGACATTTTAATTTAGAGAATATGTGAATATGCAAGTGTCACAGCATGAAATGTTTGAAGTTTGAAACTTTGAAATGTTGCTCAAGCAAATTCAGTCCAGTTGGGCTGTTTTAGGTTGTCCAGCTCTTAACACTTGGAGGGAAGTGTCGCCCGCTGACCTCTGGATGTTTGGAAGTGTTTCAGTGTGTCTGAGCTCTGCGTTGACCGTCTGCACTCCACAGATAATCCCCTTGATTTCCTTCAGTTATACTGGAATGTTACATTCTTCTGACTGCAATCCTTGCTTGTTTTCCCCACAGCGTATAATGCACTCTCTGGCATGTGAGGAGTGTTATGTGAGTCATCTTGTTGACGTTTTAGTGCATTTGACACAGTTTATATTTGAAGCATGTTCGTGATGTGACATGGTCCCTCGTAAATGGATTAGGGAACTTGCAGTCAGATGGTGTCCTGGTCTCCAATATCCTCTTAAAGAGCGACTGTAAAGATCCAGTCTTTCTGGGATTATGCTGTGTCATACACGTGTGCAAATGGGATTGCAATTCTAGGTTGCTAAAGATTTTAACTTGATGTCTGTCTGCCCTCAATTTTATACATCTGTACAACAGTATTACTGGTCAGAGATGTTTCTACTGGATTACGATGTAAACGTGGTGAAAATGCCAAATAAATTGGAATTATGCATGCAGCTCATATAACAAACGTTAAAATGAAAATGTTGCCTAGGCAAAATGTATGGCAAAAAAATATTTCAAAACAAAAAAAATCTATATTAATATTTCTATAATTTTAGATTTTTAAAGAAATACATATATATATATATATATATATATATATATATATATATATATATATATATATATATATATATATATATATATATATATATATATATATAAAATTATTTCTTTGGAAGTTTTTCTCTTATTTTTCTTGTTTTATTTTGAGTTTTGTGTGATAAAAAAAAATATTATATACAATAATATTGACAATAACAACAACCAAATGGCTACTTAAACAAATATTTTAATAGCAATGCAAAATATAATAATACTTGCGACCAACACATTATATATACAAACCAATTTTGTACAAAAACATTTTATCAGAACTATTTTCATCAAGACATTATTGATAGTAGATTTTTTTTGATAAATAATTTTTTGAACATTTTAAATATATGTATGATTGTCTTTTGTCTTTAGTTAATAATACAAGACATCCAATTTCATATCATACTAAATTGACAGGAAGTTGTAATTGCAGAATAAAGGCCCACAGGCATATCGACAGATAATAATATAAATCTGGATGTAATTCGAAATTTTCATCCATATGAGCCAGCGTTATTTAGAGGTAGTTAACTGGGAATAACATGTTGCGACTGATCAATTAGAAGCGAGCATTCCAGGCAGCCATGTGAGAAAAAATTATAACAAACTTTTAATAATCCACTTGTGGAAATAAAATGTCAGTATATGGGCCAGATAATCATGCATCATCACTCATTGTAAATCATAAAATTCTAATTCATGAATGAGCAGACTAAATTTTCATCATACTAAAAACCTTTTGCTGTCAAGTGTGTAAGACCTATTGGTTTGAAAAATAGGGACAGCCATTAAGTATATACAAAGTTGTTTTTGATGCTTGAAAAGCCCTTTTCATTTTTGACCCACATACTGTATATAGTATGTTCTTTACTTTAGACCAGGGGTGTCAAACTCAATTCCTGGAGGGCACAGTTTAGTTCCAACCCTGCTCCAACACACTTACCTGTAGGTTTCAAACAAGCCTGAAGGACTCAATTAGTTTGATCAGGTGTGTTTTAATTAGGGTTGGAACTAAACTGTGCAGAGCTGCGGCCCTTTTGGAACTGAGTTTGACACCTGTGCTTTAGACCTTTGTAGAAGCTGCATGCTACCAATGAGCGCCACCTAGAGCTCACATACCAAACTGTTTTGCTTTTTAAAACTTGATCTTTACAGGACTCTTCTGTTTGTTTCAGATGTGAATGACTGTGCGGGTCAGCCCTGTCTAAACGGAGGCACCTGTCAAGATCTTGATGGGGACTTCAACTGTAAATGTCCCTCGCCCTATGTTGGAAAACACTGCAATCTGCGTAAGTACATCAACACATGCACATTCACAGTTATAACATATTGGGCGTTTCAGTCGATGACTTCATTCAGCACACGATGTCTGTGTGTCTCCCCTGTGAATGCACTTATCACACTGTTTATCCATATGGAGCCTGTTTTGACTCTTCAACACTTCAATGTCTGCCAGGCCTGTAGACAGATATTAAATCAAAGGTATATTTTTCAAAATAATTCAAAAAATTTTATGAAAAGTTACTTTTAATAAGGTTGCTTAATGGATTCATGTTACCAGTACCAATACATGACCATATATGTTCTTCTAAACTTTGGGATTGTGAATTGATGGAATAGTAATACCTCTTAATATTTTCTTTTGTATTTTTCTTCTTCTTTTTTTTACATAGAATAAATTTCATAATTTATGTTCAAGAAAACAACACATGAACTCTCTTCTTTTACAAACCACATCCTAATATAAAGACTGGCATTTTAATTAACAAGCAGTTTCTGCAGCATTTGGCCCACTGAAAGCAATCACTGCGAAATGGAACTAAAAGATGCCATATTGTTGCAAATCATTTTAAATAGTGTTAATGAGGAATTCTTTTATATTTTGAATGAAATGTGTATCACTTAGGTACTTGAGCTCGGAGCAAGTAACTACTGAAAAAGGGATACAAACCTTGACTTATTCATGTTGCCAGATATTTGTTGAAAAAACAGCAGCTAATAATAAATCCAATTTAAAAAGTGAATTTACTTTGTTGACTTTAGAGACCTGTTGGTTTTAAAGTGATTAGTTGACTTTACTTTTAAATAAAAACAGTAAGTAAACCCATTGCATTAAAATTATTTAATAAATAAACAAAAATTAAGTCAACTTTACAGTTCTAAGTTCCAACTGGTTTACTCACTTTTAGGTATTTATTTTATATTTAGGTTTATTCATTTTTTTTAGGTAAAGTAATTAAATGCCTTTTACTATGTAACAATAATTACGAAAAACTATTTTAAAAAATAAAAAATGTTTTTCTTTTCTTAAAAATGTTCTAACTTGAATTGCTGTAAAAAACAATTGGAAACATGTATTTTCATTTATTCATTTATTCATTTTCTTGTCGGCTTAGTCCCTTTATTAATCTGGGGTCGCCACAGCGGAATGAACAGCCAACTTATCCAGCGTGTTTTTACGCAGTGGATGCCCTTTCAGCCACAACCCATCTCTGGGAAAAAATGTATTTTTTAAAGTACTTTATAGTATGTTGCCATATAGCAACAGCATCCAACAGTGGATCTAACTTAGAAATGTCAAATTTAAAACTTTCCTAAAATTAATAACTTTGTTGTTTAAAATGATTTAATTGGAAAATGAACAAAAGTATTATGTTGCCATAAACATATATATAGCTTTTAATAACTTGATTGGTTTATAAGTCAATATGGTTTGACTTCATAATTTGGTTTATAAATAGTAAGCCTATAGACCCTTAAAATAAGCAGACATGGCAACACTACACGTGTGCACAAACCATGATGTTTGGGTTGTCTGTGGTATAATTCAAATTCCGAACAAAACGATATATGACTAGTAATGAATAGTGAGAATCAGCAGTTATTAAGAAATATTTAATGAAATGTTAAATAATAGTCAAGTCCCTATAAAAAAATTGTTTTACTAGTTTAATAAACACAAAAAATCTATTTTCTTTTATTTATAATTTTTATCTATTTTATGTGGAATTTTTGTCTAGATCTGCCACTGCAGACTGAAATGAATGAGCTAGCTTGCGAGGGACATCCATGTTGCCAGGTCCAGTTATTATAAGCATTTCATCATTTAACTTCTATTTTTAATTAAGTTATTCCGGCATTAATAAAGAGCCAAATTAAGGGCTGGGTTAGAGGTTCCAGTCTTTTTTGCAAAATACAAGATTTAAACTTAATTTTGAGTGAATTTTTCAAGGGATTGATTTTGCTGGTTTTTTAATAACAACATCTGACAGCACTGCACTTAATCTGACAGGTGGCACTCAAAAAATCTGCACAGATAGTCTATTACTGAGGAAACCACTTTTGGTAAGACAAAGGCAACGATCACCATGATATTATCTGTACGAAGTGGTTTTAAATATCATCAAAACAGATCTGTAAAACAGCAGAAATTACACTGGCCAGGATGAAGGCTATGCTATTTTATTAAGTTTTGAAGCTGCGTAGTTTTACATTTACAAATTACAAAGCCATGCTAAAATTCCTAAACATTCACAAAGAACAAGCTCTTATTTTTTATTCATAAACCAGTTCTTAATGAAAATGTTTACAGCAAAAAGTGTTGCCGTGAACCAACATTAAATATCTACATATATCCTGTCTACAGTCATGTCTGTGTCGCTTCTGTGACATATGCTCATCACACTGTCTCTCCATCTGTGAGTCTGTTTGTCTCTCGAGCATCTGCTTATGTCTGCTTCTTTTTCCCAGGATGCATCTCTCTGCTGGGAATGGAAGGAGGAGGAATTGCTGAGTCTCAGATCTCTGCATCTTCAGTGTACTATGGCATTCTGGGACTGCAGCGATGGGGACCCGAGTTGGCTCGGCTTAATAACAAGGGACTTGTTAATGCTTGGACCTCTGCAACGCATGACAAAAACCCCTGGATTGAGGTAAACATGTTTTTTTTCAGTTTGAGCACTTTTTTTGCTGTCTTCAGTAGTTTGTTGATGCTAGTTCTTGTTGCATATCCTGTTTTTCTGTTCTGACTGTAAAAAAAACAGCCTGGTCTGGTTTGTATACAGTTGACTGAACACCTCAAATTTATGTAGAGCTTTGGGAAAAAAATCACTATGATTAATAGTTATGTGTTTGAGTAAAACATAATTTTTGCTTTGTTCTGCAATCTACTTTTGACATTTTATCCAAACATAAATTAAAAAATGTTTTCTGCATAAAACAATATTTTATATTTATTTTAGACCACACAAAAGTAATATTTTTCTTTAGAAATGTAAAAAAAACCTGGTTAAAAACACTAAACACTTTATTTTTTCTTTTGAAAAAAATCATATTTGAAAGAAATGTTAGCAGACCTTTATAGAATAAAACCAAGATTTACATTTGACCCAATAAGTCCAGGACATCCAGAGAAATTGAGAATTTAAATATTAATTTTTCATAGGTGTATCTTGGTTATGACATTTAACTCACACAAACTATACGCATACACATTATAAAACTAATTATATGATGGGCTTTACTGGTAACATGCAAATTTGGGCTCCAAAAATTAACTATTGAAAGACTTATTTTAAATCTGGTTTTATAATAGGTCAACCTGCAGAGGAAGATGCGCTTCACTGGCATCATTACCCAGGGTGCCAGTCGCATGGGCACAGCCGAGTTCATCAAAGCCTTCAAGGTGGCGTCCAGTTTGGATGGAAGAACCTACACCATGTACAGACCTGAGGGCCAGAGCAAAGATATGGTAATAATCATTTTTTTTAAAATAAAATACAGTATTTATTATTGTGTAGTTATCTATATTATGAGTTGTCTTATTTTACAAACAAAATTTGCTGATACATTTAAACATTTGTCCAATAGAAAAATCAGTAAAAAAGAATCTAGCTAAAATAATTAATAAATTGTAAATAATAAAAAAGTAAATATAAAAAGAACAAATAACAGATTTAATACATCTAAAACCAACATAAAACACTAATAAGTTTGGAAATAAACATAATTAATTATTTCTAATGAAAATATTGTATACAAATGATGTATATGTAGTTTTATTTTATTTTTATTGCTGTTTGGCTCAGACCTCAGTCTGTCTACTGATGTTTTTTTCAACTGCGGGTGGATTTAGTTGGTACTTTGGACTGTGGGGGAAAGCGGAGCACCCGGAGGAAACCCACGCGAACGCAGGGAGAACATGCAAACTCCACAAAGAAAAGCCAACTGAGCCGAGGCTCGAACCAGCGACCTTTTTGCTGCGACAGCACCACCTACTGTGCCACTGCTTCGCCTAGTTGGTTACAGTTGAAGGAAAAAAATTCTAAATGATTTTCCTTTTTCAATCTCTAAAGTTTGTTTATTTCACTTCGCCTCCATAATTTTAAACATATTTTTAAGATGGATTTTCATAGTTGGAAAATTAAGGTCAAGGTATAATTTATTGTCTCCGATAGGAGAAAATAGTTTTATAAAAAAGGTTCTGCTGTACAGTGACACCAACAAGACATACATACATACACATTAAAATCTAGTAAAACAACAACATGTTAATTAAAAAGCCACGAAACGGCATTTGAAAAGTTACAGTAAAGGTCTTAAATTTGTCGTCCTTGCTATAATATAACACTGCTTAAGCATATTTAATAAATATAAAATATATTCATTGTGTCCTCCAGATTTTTGTTGGTAACATGGACAATGATGGGACAAAGACGAATTTGTTCGAGCCTCCAATCATCGCTCAGTTCCTCCGGATTGTTCCTGTGGTGTGCCGTAAAGCCTGTACTCTGAGAATGGAGCTGGTCGGCTGTGAACTCAACGGTAAAATCCTAATGACAACAACAACATTGCATGTTCTACATTCTTATGAATAGATTTATAGGAGCTAAAGCACAAAACACATCCAGTAGTATATGGTAAAACTGCTGTGGTTTCATGGGGGAAAGTGTCATCATTTCCTGCTCCTCTTCATTTGTGGTGAAGTCAAAAACCGCCGTGTGTTTGGATGAAGGAACAAAATCAGCTGTTTGTAAACCGAGACATAAAACTTAAAGACATTTGACTTATTTAGCATGTGACAGAGTTTTCAGCTGCATGCAGTGATGATGAATCACACTGGGTAATTTTTGTGGTATGTGCTTAGTACATGTCGTTCTTCCTTTCTGCTAGCATTTCAAAAAAACTAGCTTGGACTTGATTTTATTATATTATATTATATTATATTATATTATATTATATTATATTATATTATATTATATTATATTATATTATATTATATTATTGTTATTATACTATAACATCTATATAATTATATATTTTTGTTAAGTATAATGATATAAATAAACATTATGGGCCCTATCATACACCTGGTGCAATAAGCCCCGAGACGTGTTTGGCACTATGTGATGCTGTTTTCAGACCGACACAACCCTAATTTTCCCTATATATATATATATATATATTATCTATATCAATTATTATCTATTATTATTTTATTAATAATGCATTATAAAAATTCTATCTAATGCATGAAAGATTTTCCTGTATTAATAAATTCTTATTAAAACTAACATTAAATAAGTATGAAATTGATCAATTAAAAATGACCGATATATTATGCTTAATCATCTGTGTGAAACTCTAATTTTCAGCTAATATAATGTTGCGCATGTCAATGTCTCATTCACAGCATTGCCCACTTCACTCCTCCATGTGTCTCTGAGCAGCTTCACATACACACACAGCGCCGACTGTCGCCTGCATGCGCTTCACACACTCTCAACTGCATGACTGCTTTGGTTTGTGCTGCTTGTGCTGACGCTTCCCATCCATCTCTCTGCCACTTCCCTTTGTCCGCTGTCTCACTTCACAGTGTATTTGAACACGACAGGTTGCTCCGAGCCGCTCGGCGTCAAGTCTCGGCTCATCAGTGACCGGCAGATGACATCGTCCAGCGCTTTCCGCACCTGGGGCATTGAGGCCTTCACCTGGCACCCGCATTACGCCCGTCTGGACAAACAGGGCAAGACCAACGCCTGGACGGCAGCTACAAACAACCGCTCCGAGTGGCTGCAGGTGAGACACGAAAAACTTTTAGGGTTGTAAAAAGAGATGGAGAACATCAGGAGTGTGTCCTAAACTAGAGATAATGATACATTTTGAAGCTGAAGAGGTCATGTGAAGTGAGAGGGCTACTGGTGTCAAGCAAGAGCTTCAGATTTCTGAACCAGAAAAATATGACTGGTAATACGACAAGGAACATTTTTCATTAGAGGGATATATGGACAGACGATGGATGTACAGATAGATGGAAAAATGGATAAGTGGGTGGGTGGGTATATGGATGGATTGTTAAACAGATTGATGGAAAGATAATGATAGATGACGGATAGAAGGTGGGATGGATGATGGATACTGTGATGGAAGTATGAGCATGGCTGGATGGATAGATAGACTGAAGAACAGATAGATGGATGAAAATATACTGTAATTGGATAATCGATATATAGACAGATGAACAGTGACGATGGATGGATGGATGGATGGATGGATGGATGGATGGATGGATGGATGGAAAGATAGATGACTAAAATAATCGATGGACAGATGTGTAGATAGTTGGATGGATGGTTTTTAGAATAATGGATGGATCAATGAAACGACAGATGGAAGGATGATAATAGAGGATGGATGTAAGGAGGGATGGATGGTGTGATGGAAGGATGAGCATGGGTAGATGCATGTATGATGGATAGTTAAACAGATGCATGGATAATGGAAAGTTCGACATGAACAAATAGACGTATGAATAGATGATGGATGTATGGATAAATGGTTACTGTAGATGGATGATGGGTAGATAGAGGGATGAACAGATACAATGATGGATGAATGGATGAAAGTAGATAAAGAAATGTATGGACAGATGTGTGGATAGTTGGATGGATGGATGGATGGATGTGTGAATAGTTCTTAGAATAATGGACTGATGGATGAACAGATAGATGGAAGGATGTTAATATAGTATGGATAAAGGGAGGGATGGTTGATGGATAGTGTGAGGGATGAATGAACATGTGTAGATAGACAGATAAACAGATGGATGTTTGAATGGATGATGAAAAGTTAGACATGAACAAATGGATGAATAGATGATAGATAAGATAACACCCATACACACTTATCCACACACACACTCATACATTATGGCCAATTTAGCTTATGCAATTCGCTTACAGCTCATGTCATTGGACTGGTCGGGAAACCGGAGCACCCGGAGGAAACCCACGCCAACATGAGAAGAACATGCAAACTCCACACAGAAATGCCAATTGACCCAGCCGGGACTCAAACCAGCGACCTTCTTGCTGTGAGGCAACAGTGGTAACCACTGAGCCGCCATGCCACCTTCATTTAGACATTTTTATATATTACAATTTCATTTTTAAACTCTGCAAAAGCATACAGAGAAACAAACTAAAAATAAAATTATCACTTACTGTATACTCGCCAAAAGACAACAAAAAGGGATGTAAACTTCTGAACAAGATGATGCATCATGGAAAACTGATGTTCTACATAAAATTCAGAAAGAAAAAGTTTTTAGATGTCATTTTTCTGTAGAGAACCCTCCTTAGATTAGATAAATATTTAGATTAAGTTCCAAAGCTTGAGTAATCTAACAAAATGCATTGCAATTTATTAAAAAAAAAAAAAAAAAGTATTTGTAATCTGCAGTGAAAAAAATGGCTTTGGATGAATCTATGACACATTTGTTTTTCATAATTCTGAAATGAACAGAAAGTTCAACAGAACAACATTTGTGTCAAATGAAAATCTTTTGCAACATTATAAATGTCCTTACAGCCCATTTAATGTATCATTGATGAATAAAAATGTCTATTTCTGTATGACCTCAAACTTCTAAACTTATATATCACTCTGACTTTAAAACGAATGAGTTTTGTAGCCTGAAAGGAGGATCTCCTGGATTCTGTCCACACTGAGTCAGTGTTTCTTCTCTCGTCATCTGGCTCATAACTGTTTGCATAGGAAATTAATTCAATGTTGGCCGTCACTTTGGGATCGTCACACATTCACACATTGAATGACCTTTTTAAGGCTGAGCGCAATCGAATCACCGTTGATTTTCAATCTTTGGATCTTTTAAAGCATTGCTTTGGGATGTCATCATTTACACACAACACATCTGGAGGCCAATAGTAAATCTTTCTTAAAGGGATAGTTCACCCAAAACTGAAAATTCTCTCATCATATAGTCACCCTTCACTTGTTTCAAACCGGTTTAAGTTTGTTTTGTATGTTTAACACAAAGACGTTTTTTCAAAAATGCTAGAAACCGTTACCCATTGACTTCCATAGTGTTGTTTTTTCTACTATGAATGTCAATAGTTACCAGTTTATAATATTCTTCAAAATATCTTCCTTTGTGTTCGACAGAAAAAAGAAACTTATAAACATTTGGAATCACTTGAGGGTGATAGGGAGTAAATTTTGGGTGAACTTTAAAACAAATGATTGTAACTAAATGTCAGTTTCTGATGTAATGCCTCTTGCTGAGTTGTTTTGATCTGTGTGTTTTAGGTGGATCTGCTCAGACCAAAGCGCATTACAGGAATCATCACACAAGGAGCCAAAGACTTCGGCAATGTGCAGTTTGTATCTGCCTATAAAGTGGCTCACAGTGACGACGGCCAACACTGGACGATACTCAAAGAAGACAAGACCAAAACAGATAAGGTTGGGTTCTAAACACAATTTAATTCATTATGTGAAATCAGCGTGAAATTACCTTTAACTTAAAGAAAACCACCCCATAATTTATTCTCAAATCATCCTCTTTATATATATATATATATATATATATATATATATATATATATATATATATATATATATATATATATATATATATATATATATATATATATATCTTCTTTCAGATGAATACAGTCGGCTGTGAACACTGTGCTGTATAATAGTGGTAGTGGCTTTTATTTTAAAGCTTCCAAAAGCACATGCACATCTGTCATAAAGATAACCCATACACCACCAGGGGTTAACACATGTCTCATGAAGCAGATCCATGTGTTAAAACAAAGAAAATCACAATTTTAAATTTAAACTCAATTTTCAGATTTCCACTGACTGCTGATTACACGTTCTCAAACTTCTGACTCAATGTATGAAGCATGACGTAAGACACGTTGGTTGCCAAAGCTCTGGGAGTAGACCAGATGAAGATGACAAACATTGAAATCCTCTGACATTTTAACTTCTTGTTGTTCCAAATAACTGCCAATTAGTTTAGGGGAATTCAAATATTGTGTTTTTTGTGTGATCAAGTTCATTTTTTTAAATGGAGACGTGTGACATAAACATGCAAACAGGCAGAGACGCTACTCTGCACACGGGGTGTCATGTCACAAGAACCAACCAATCAGCTTCAGACTTTGTGACACTTTTCAATTTTTTTATTAATAACATTTGTATCAGAGGTACGGCAAGGATTTGTCAGTGGTAGGGATGCAACAATTAACCAGTTTTACTATTAACTGCTGCTTACTAATTCGTCACTGTTAATTAATTGTAAAGGCTTCACAACATCGCGTTACTGCACAGAACAAAACTGCTGCAGTTAAACAAAGCTATACCAACTGTGTGCTAGTTTAAAGTTTTAACTATGGCTGAGGCTGTTCACTAAGGGCCGTTCACACATCCCGTCTTTTGCGTGAACAAGTGGAAATGCAGCGATTAACCGGTTTCTCTATTAACCGCACTTTAATTCATCATGGTTAATTAATCGTAAAGACTTCTCAACACTGCATTTCAGCACGGAACAAAACTGCTGCAACTAAACAAAGTAATGCCAACTGTGCAGTAGTTTAAAGTTCCTAGATTGTAGACCGAAGCTAATACTCTATGCACTCTGGATTAACTATGGCTGAGGCTATTAACTAATGGATGTTCAGATGTTGCGTCTTTTGTGCACACAAGTTTGTTATTTCTTGTCTTGCACGCATATTGGGAGTGACATGCACATGGTGCGCACATGGCACGACCCTAGTTAAAAGAATCATATGACATAGCATAGCTATGTGCAAGTTCGCTATTTGGAAAGTTTGCCATTTTGGCAGCAACATGCACGAAGCGCACAAGTGACGTGACATGCTTATGTTTTCCAGGCACACCTAGTTGAAGAAAAAGAGCGAGTCATGTGACAAGATCTGGACCGATCAACTTCATACTTTTGTTTTCTAATATTCAGCTTAGAGTTACATTAGACAAATACAATTTTTTTATTTTTTCGTATTGTTATGTATTTATTTATTATTTATTGTTCTGTCATTTATTTTCAGTGTAAAACTCCCACATAGCTAAATTTCTCTGGCCCAGCTCTGGCCCACACAATCAGGTTTTGCTTGGCCCACATGCCGCAGTGAATTACGGTACATGACTGGACCAAATCTGGCTTCCAGACAAGGGCCAAACACGGACCATATCTGGGCCAAGTCTCAGCCAAGTTAATAACTCATAACTGGGCCTGAACTGGGCCAGATAGGTTGGTGTGTCACGATTGCAATGAAATTGGTAAACCCATGGAGTGATGCGCTTTAGGCACACTATGGGCACGCTTTTTCTCAAAGTGACCTGATTGGTAGATTTTTTTTTCTTTACTCAAAAATGATTTTAGTGTATTTTAAATGTGGGTCAAGACTGGCCAAACACACATGACCCACTTTCAAATTTTTAAATCTGGGCCAAATACTACGTTTTTCATCTGGCCCAAATCTTGTGTGCCGCCTTAAAGACGGTGCCACCTCAGCCAAACCCGGGCCATGTTTGGCCCACATGCTGTATGCCAGTGCCGGATGAATGCCTGCTGTGCCAGCTTTATGCCAAATCTGGGCCAGAATTCTTTGCTACTAGGGCTATAACATATGGTTAGATACCAAAAACTTTTTCACTTATTTTGAAATCCAAAGAAAAATGGACTGTTGTTTTTTTTTAATTATTCTTATTTTGTGCTGGGTGATGCAGTGGAGCAGTAGGTAGTGCTTTCGACTTACAGCAAGAAGGTTGCTGATTTGAGCCTTTGCTTGGTCAGTTGGCATTTCTGTGTGGAGTTTGCTTGGTCTCTGTGTGGGTTTCCTCCGGGTTCTCTGGTTTCCCCCACAAGTCCAAATAAATGTGACATAGGTGAATTGGGTAAGCTAAATTGTCCGTAGTGTATGTGTGTGAATGAGTGTGTATGAATGTTTCCCAGTGATGGGTTGCAGCTGGAAGGGCATCCGCTGGGTAAAACATATGCTGGATAATTTGGCGGTTCATTCGGTGGTGGTGACCCTAGATTAATAAAGGGACTAAGCCGAAAAAAAATGAATGAGTGAATGAATGATTTTGTCCTGTATTCATTTGTTACTGATCAGCAAATTATAAGGAGTTTTCATGTGATTTTCTAAACTAGTAGTGTTTTGAATCGAATGAATGCATAATAATCATGATAACCGTGAAACCATGATTATTTGCATCCATTGCTTTCTTAGTCAGTGATTGTTTCTCAGATGGTCCAGCTGATATGTCACAGGAGTGTGAGCTCAGAAGTAGATTTAAATTGGTGAAGGAAGTGATGTTGCCTCACAATATCCAATATGTGGTTTTAGACCTGATGTGTGAACAGCCCCTATCTAAATTTGTCTACAGTCACAGAAGCTGCCGCTATAAATTCTTCTTATAAGTTGTCTAGATTAGAGCTTGCATTCAGCAGCCCCTGGAAGCCAATGATTTGTTTTCATAACTTAAACATTTGAAATATTTTTGTTACAAAAATCGATCTGCTTTATAAGACATGCACTAACTCTCTTTTGGTGTATGGGTTATTTTTACTATGGATTTATGTGATTTTGGAAATGGCAAAAATTGCCACTACCCAACACCGTCATACAGCATAAAAAAACAGGAAAATATTTAAAACTACACTGTTTACTTCTGTGTTCATCTGAATGAAGATAGAGACATACACAGAGGATGTATTGAGGGTGAATCATTTGTAGGGTAGTTTGATTTTGAGGATCCCTTTTAATATGTGTTTTCCATCAATAAACATTCAGTTTAACTTTTTAAATTGTCAAACCAATAAAAACTTAATCTATAGAAACATTGTAAGTGTAAAATAGTAAAAGAAAATTAAAAATGTTATAAAAATAAAATGTTTTAATATGTGCAAAAAATTAAATTAAGTTAACCTGTTAATATTTAACATTTAAATGTAATTTTCACAAAAAATACAAATTGGGTCACACATTGCTGCATTTAATTTATATTATTTTTAAATTAAATTTATTTGTTTTTATGCTAGTTACTAAATAGTCAAAACTGCTTAAATTACAAGTAGTTTCAAAATTCTTTATTGAAAGAAATCTGTAAATTAAATTAAATAAACATTAATATTAGCTGGAAAATAATAAAACTAGAAGGAAGGTTTAAAATGTTCTTTTAGCTATTCATTAAATTGTTTAATTTTGTTAATGAATTAATAAATTTGTTTAGCCTACTAAAATCTATCTATCTATCTATCTATCTATCTATCTATCTGTCTGTCTGTCTGTCTCTCGACCTATCTACAAAATTCTGAGATGGACTAATTAATTATTTAAAAAAAACAACTTGAAACATTCATAAGATCACCTTTAAAGAAAGTAATGCAGCTTTTTCTGAATGATATGATCAGTTGGCTGCACATTTTCTCCTTTTGCCTCCTCTCTCCGTCAGATTCGTCCTCATCTCACCCCGTCTTAAATCTTTTCTTCCTCACCTGCAGATCTTCCCTGGCAACAGTGACAACAACGTGCACAAAAAGAATGTGTTTGACCCGCCCTTCTACGCGCGATTCGTCCGCGTGCTGCCGTGGGCGTGGCATGAGCGCATCACTCTGCGAATGGAGCTGCTGGGCTGCGACGAGTAAACCCCGCCCACTTCTCTCTCAACCTCTCCTCTCTATTTCTCCTTCTCCCTCTTTATACTTCCCATCATTCCTTCTTTTCTCAAACACACCTGCACTGCCTCACTCTCAGCAACAGAGGTCACCATCGCCACACGAGCCAAACCACCACCAACAACACACTAAGCTCAAACCCACAGCGTCACCCTTCCTAAAACAATTCAATACTTATATACAGTGTTCTCCGCTAATATTGGCAGCTTTGGTAAGTAAAACTATATTTTAAAATATATGTTTATATATATTGGCATTAGTGAATATGAGCAAGGAATACTGGGGTGAAAATGAGCGAGTTTGTCTTGATATTACCTCATATTTATATTTTAAAAGGTTAAATATCAATGTGAATATACTTATTCCTTGAGGTCACAATATTTGTGGCACAAAAATGTGACCCTAGACAGCAAAGCCAGTCATTAGAGTCTAAAAAGAGTTTTTTTTTTTAAATACATTATTTGAATCTGAATAAATTAGCTTTCCACTGATGTTTGATGTATGAGGATATTACAATATAAGGTTGTGATACAACTGGTATAACATCTACAATCTGAGGGTTAAAAAAATCAGAAAATTGCTTTTAAGGTTGTCCAAATTAAGTTCTTGACAGTGTATACTAATCAAGAATTACATTCTGATAAATTTACTGTACACTGTAAAACCCAAAAAGTTAATGTAACTCAAAACAGTTGAGGAAACCAATTGTAACAAACCATTTAAGTTTAAAAACTAATCCTAATGACAACTGTGAACTCACTTGATTTTAATAAATGGATCAGTTTGACAGTAAAACCAGATACATGAAGAAAACTCAAACCAACTGAGTACTGTAAAACCCAATAAGTTAAGGCAACTCAAACCATTTGAGTTAAAAAAACTAATCTATAAGAGTACCGTGAACTTACTCCATTTAAGTTGAAGTAATGAAGTATTTAATTAATTCATTATCTTCAACACTGAGTTCAAAACTCTTTTCAAATGAGTAGAATTAATTTTCAGTAAATTTTGAGTTAACTACACTCCTTTCATTTGATAAAGTGGAAATATGATCTTTGCTTTATATTTTAACGTTTTTTGGCATTAAAGAAAAATGTATAATTTTGACCCATAAAATATGAAATTAAGCAATATATTTTCAGGCACGTAGCCAGCCTGGTGAAAGCGGTGGTTCTTTTTTTTTAAGTAGATTTTTATTTTTATTTTATTTTTTACCTCATTTTGAATGTGATTATGAGGTTTAAATACTCCATTCTGTGACATTTTAGGCACTATTTTCAGCTGGATTGGCTTGTTGGATGATCATCAAAACCACGATTTTTGATGGATCAAACGTCTTTCTAAAAATAAAGATTAAAACACAAATTTATTACATCTTATATCAGTAGAAAATAAATTTCAGACAATTGTCATTTATTAGGCAAATCACAAACTGGCCAGCACATTCAGCTTTCATCAGTCAGAATTTTATATTACAGAGCTTCACAATATTTTCCAAGTCTAAAAAGTACATTTGAAATTTCATGGATAACCACAAAAGCCTAATTAGTATTCAAATTAATTGCTATGTGATTGATAATTTTTTTCTATCAAGAATAATGTCCAAGATTTAGAATGAATTTTTTCTGTATTTAACAACAACAACAAAGTAGTTGACTTCACTTATGTCACATTCTGCTTGGTCTTAAAGCCTTCGATGGGTTAATTCCACATTTTATGATGGCATAGCTGTCAAAATAGGACAAATGAGCTCATGTATGGGGCAAATTCTGGACCTTTGTCAGTGGGGGGTGGGTGATAAAATGTATCTTTTTTGTTAATATGTTGAACAAAAGATTAAATGATAAAAATACATATTTACCAAAGTTGCCAATATTATTGGAGGACACATTATGCCAAAGTGACAATTCACCCAAAAGTGAAATTCTGTCAACAATTATGTTTTTCCAAACCTGTTTGAGTTTCTTTCTTCCATTGAAAAATAAGATGAAGAAACTTGTAAACCAGTAACCATTGACTTCCATAGTATTTTTCCCCAAATAACATTGTTCATAATATCTTCTTTTGTGTTCAACATAAGAAAGAGACATACATGGTTTGAAACCATTTGAAGGTGAGTAATTGTTAATGTTTAAACTACCTTCTTATTATTTATTCACCCCTATAAGTATTTCAGACCTATTAAACAGCCAATCATAAAGAGGTGATCTTGTAAATAAAAGTAACAGTTTATTACTTTTCATATCAATCAGTGTGTTAGTTTGCTTGTAAATGCATTCAAGCTGTTTTATATCCCACCGTATGAAGTAGTTGAATTAGGTAGTCCGAAAATAATGTTGTGCTCTTTGCTGATTTATATATTATGTAAGGAAAGCTGCCATTTGATCTGTTAAAAACAATGTTTGCTTTAAATCAAGTTTTTTTTTTTTTTTTTTTTTTTTTTACCGAGCTGCCATATTTTACAGAAAATAAGTCACAGCAGGTCAAAATTGAATTTTTGAGAGGAAAATCATTGCACAATTACATTTTTTATCATTTAAGAATTAATGTAAAGTAGGGTATTACTCACACAGACTATTTGAAATTTGATAATTTGGATCTTCTAGATTTAATAGGTTTATAAATGTTTTATTAAGATTTAATTTGTTTAATTTTACAACCTTTCTATAAAAGAATTTGTCATGTTTTTTTTTTTTTTTTTTTAAATGACATTTGGTCAAACTAATAAATGTTTTCATTTGTTCAGATTAAAACTAAATCAGGGTTATTTAATCAAATATTGATTTCTAAACTTCTGAAAAAATGTAAACATTCATATTGTTGAAAATATTTATTTAAAATCTAATTAAATGGTGTTTTGTAAACCTTTTTGTGAGGTTTTTGTTACCCCGAAGTGATGATATAAAAACTGTGACTTATATTCCTGAAAGTACGGTAAAGCATTTTTACAACCTCAACTACATTAAAAATGTGACACTCAATTGTCTATTATTATTATTATTATTTGATGATTTTATTTGATTTTGGTGCCTCAGATCTCAGGTGCAGTTGAATCAATTGCAGTGTGCTACTGAATTTAGTAGATTTTTTTAGCGTAATTTTATAACATATCAATTCTGGTACAAACAAAAACCACCTTCAAAAGCCAAAGCGGTCTCATATTTCTTCTGTTAGCAATTTTTTTTTTATAAAGGGCCACACATTTACAGTATAAGCTTTGACGTCCCAGTCGTATAATGAGATGTATGATGGGAGCAAATCTAATTTCAGGATAATTTCTACGGTGGCACTGAATCTGGAATATGACCATCCAATTTCCATAATGTTTTCAAAATGATTGTAATCCCCCCTTGGCCCCCGAAGCATCCACTCGAATAAATTTACACTTTTGGGCTTGTGCAATATGATATGAGTATTAATATGAATTTAATATTAATGGAGCTTAAGGAGAAAATATACGAGCAGTATTCTCTGTAGAGATTTGAAGTGGTTTTCAAGGTAACAAACACTGAAGAATATTCTAATAATCCAGCATGATTTAGGCTGCATGTTTGCTTTTGATCGAGTCATTTTCATTGCAGTAAAGGACTTTATTTCTATTCAGTGTGCTTTTTCTTTTTTTGTATTATTTTTAAATGCCTCGCACTGTAGCACAATTCTTGTGTTCAGATTGTTTAGATGCATTTCCTTGGTATCTCTTGAAATATTTTCCTCATGTTTTCAACTGTAGAAAGAAATAAAGAATATATCAATATTTACGGTCTGTGAATCATGTCGTGTCTTGTTAGGAGTACTCATAGAATCATCTAACAGCAAGGTGGAAAATTTAAATATTCACAATATCTAAAATTAATTTAATAATTAATTATGATATATGAGAACTTTAACATTTTTTGAATGTGTATATATATATATATATATATATATATATATATATATATATATATATATATATATATATATATATATGATTAAGGATTAACATTTGTCTCTGTGTTTTATTAAAAAAACCTTTATAATAGCAATGATATTGATAATGTAAAACAATACATGTATTGAAAAAATTAAATTGAAGGTTTTAGAATAATAATTATGATCAAATTAAAAATGTGTTATTTTAAATGTTATTTTAAGTGTATATTTTCCCGTACAATGTCTCTTCTGTGATTATTGACTAATAGACAGGCTTTATAAAGGCTCAAAGCAGGAAGGCATCAGTGATAGTTGAAAGAATAGCAGGAAAACAGCAGCACCCAATGGGCAATGCCAGGAAGGATTCTTCTGTGGAAAAACAAGGCTATTTTTGAAGAGGTGGCCTTTTGTGGCAAGTATTTTGTCAAGAGCAAACATTCTTTGCTTTCTAATAACATTTCGACAAAGGAAATCTCGCCTCGTTCACTTGACAAGTTTATGAGGGTCGTAAATTGGGTCAGCATTTTAAAAATTCACCCTAGGTGTCAAAACCATCGACAAAAACACAAGTATTACTAGAGTTTTGCTGCGGGAGTTTGTTTGATGGTAGCTGCCAGAGTAAATAAATCAAAAACCCACAAAATGACTAAATTCCGTTCCCTACAATAGCCATTCATAACGGGAAAACTTTGAAATCACTTACATTGTTTAAATCTGACTTTGAACCAAGCCATTCATTTATTTAATGTTTGAAACCTGATTAAACGTAAACTTATTAAGAGAAAACAAAGAGACTTTTACTGTCTGCTATGTCACAGGCTGCAACTGACAAGTTCTTCGAGAGAATCCAAAACATTTACTTACAGTCGTTTCTAGACCTATTCATTTTAGGCAAACAATTAGAGTACAATGTTCTTGCTGATTTTTTTCTGTGAAGCCTTCAGTTTTTGAAAGGGTCTTGGCGTTCCTTGCCTCAGGCGAGCCTTTCATCTCAGCTGTGGGACAAATAATAATGGACGGAGATCTTTACATGCGCCGCTGAGCATCTGTCAAGAGACGTGCAAATCTACTCGCTCTCTTTTTCTGTCTTTAAAGGTGGTAAATTGTGGTTTGAACAGTCGTTCGTAGTCATTCAGTAGGCTATTAGCGATCTATGATTCAAAAGTCCCCCTGAAATCAAAGTTTTTAATCTTAAATGTTATCAATAGGTTACATAAGGCGAAAAGTAAAATATAAGCATTCAAAATGTACAGTTTTTTACTTAACATATTTTTCGACTTCACTGCATCAGATCCTCTCTGACCAAGGTAATTTGTTGAAGTTATTATTTTCTGACCGTCGTGTCGATTTCTACCAGTGAACGCTGTTCTAATTTCATCTTTTTTTTAAGCAGAATAGTAAAACTGTAGGTCATGTGAAGTGCTATGAAATTTTGAAGGCAAAAAACAGTCATTTTAGTCTTTCTTCAAACCAGGCTTCAGTGATCTAAATTATGGGTTGCACTGTTTTGGAATCTTACATTAAAACAACTAAAAACAAACCATTGCAAATGCAATAAGCTTGCAGTACAATTATTTGTAACATCAATTGTTTGACTGAAGAGGTGTTAATTCTTAACTTTAAAGTGTAAAACAAACATTCAGATATATAGTGGATATCAAAATTCATTGTAAAAGTTTACCTTTACAGCTTTTAGAAAGTCCTGTTTTATATCATGCTAACATGATGCTAAGCATATTTCATGAGTGACATACTTTGAAGCACATTATTTAAAAAAAAGTATCCAAGAACCCTGATCACTTTCAAATACCTCCCTATACTGGTGTTAACCCTTTGTGGGGCACTCTTCAGCCACTTTTCCACTTCCGGGTTCAATGGTTCTTTTTGCCTAACTGTTCCATTCTGTGCGGATACGGACCAGTCAACACAGATATTCTCAAAAAAATGTTGAGTTATTTATTTTACTGAGTGTTTGAGTAAAAAATATTTGGTGCTTTGTGGGATTATTTTTCATCTTTATTGGGTTATTTATTTAATAACCCAATTACCAGTTGGGTTAAAATTTTGAACTGTCAACTTATTTAACTGACACAGAACAGCTGGATGTTAAAATGCGTGCGTAATATTGTTTTGTTTTATAAAGTTTGTTTAAGCTCCAAAGCAACAATATTTCTGTTATAATTATCATGTTTACCTCTCTTTGTGTGTTGTGATTTTTATATCGGTTTCATCAGGACTCTTAATTAATGATGATACAATCGCTTCGTAATCGATCTATATTAAACAGATAAAAACAGTTTATCTACCTTCCATGTTCATCTCTACATTTAATAATAATACACATTTGAGATATTCGGCTGTCATTCTCGGACCCAGCGGAGACTCTACCCAGTGTCGCGTCCAATCTTGGTGAAGGTTGCCTTTTTATTAGAAAACACATTTCCTTTCACTAAGAAACTATATTGCAGCATTTAAATACTAATAAAGATACATAAATATGCTACATTTTATTCAAGAAGTTGCTTGTATGGTTTCATTTTACCTTATGGTCCTAATAACGGAATGTAATACAAATGCGCAAATGAGCACAGTAAGTGTCACGATAACCAGCGATCGTTCTCCATAGATCGCTGGTTCCCACACAATAACCATGGACTACACTTCCGCCTTTTCCTGGACTACATATTTAGACATGCACTTCGTCCAGACACCCATGCTCACTCATCTAGACTGATTACACTTGCAACACCTGAGGACTAACAGAGACTGATTGCATTCACTACATAAGCCACAAAGATGAGTCTTGTTGATCAGTAGATGACATTACAGCACATTTTCCCTGTCTTGTTTCACGTGTTTCGACCCAGCCTTGTTTATCCTTGTTCTCCTGTTTAGCCACCTACCTTACGACCTATAGCCTGTTTACTGACTACGATTCTGGACTGCCTGTATATACCCATTTGCACCTGTATTGACCATTGCTTGCCTGACTACGATTAAACCTGCATATTGGATCTTACCCCAGTTGTGTGTCATCTCCCCCGCCGTTACAGAAGACTCGGCCGGTATAAGGGATCCAGCGGGAATAAAGATCATGCGTCTTTGTCAGGAAGCACGGTCCATTGAGGTGTACGTAGAGAACTTTATAAATCTGGCCCATCTCACAAAAATTAGTGAGTTATGTTTAATGATTTTCTTTCGTGGAGGACTTTTAGAGCTACTATATTCCCACATGCCACTGCACAATCCCCACTGGACGCTAGCATGATATACTGATCTTGCTCTACAAATGAGTGGTTCCCCCTTCATCGTAGGCGAGGTGGAGAAAAATCCAAAATATGTTTGGGGAGGGCAAAGAACAGCAAGACCCGCTGGCAACGGGGCTTGCGACTCATCCCACACAGCCATCTCACAAGATGGCTGTTCCCAGTCTGCCAGCTCACAAGATGGCTTCCTGTCCCAAGTCTGTTCCTGCTCCTGAAAAGCCATCTCCAGAGCTGCCAGATCCTCCAGAGCTGCCACTGCCAGAGCTGCCAGCGCCGCTGCCAGAGTCGACGTTGCAGCCAGAGTCGACGCCAGCGCCGCAGCCATAGTCAATGCCGCTGCCCGAATGGCAGCCGCCACCTGAACTTCCCGAATGGCTGCCGCCGCCTGAGCTTCCTGAAGGGCAGCCGCTGCCTAAGCTTCCCGAACGGCCACAGCTCCATGTTCCAGACCCACCGCAGCTCCATGCTCCGGGCACTCATCTGTCTCATGATCCAGGGCCACTGCAGCTCCACGCTCCAGGCCCTCAGTAGTTCCATGCTCCGGGTCCTCCGCAGCTTCACTCTCCGGGTCCTCTGCAGCTCCTCTCTCCGGGTCCTCCGCAGCTTCATGCTCCGTGTCCTCCGCAGCTCCACTCTCCAGGCCTTCCGCAGTTCCATGCTCCAGGCCCTCCACAGTTCCACGCTCCAGGCCCACCTCAGCTCCACACCCCAAGAACTCCCCAGCTGCATGGTCCTCTATCCCTCCCCCTGTTCCGCCTCCGCTCCACCTCCCACCTGAACAGAATTTGGAGCGTCTGGAATCCATTCTTTAGAGGGGGGGGGCTATGTCACGATAACCAGCGATCGTTCTCCATAGATTGCTGGTTCCCACACCATGGACTACACTTCCGCCTTTTCCTGGACTACATATTCAGACATGCACTTCGTCCAGACACCCATGCTCACTCATCTAGACTGATTACACTTGCAACACCTGAGGACTAACAGAGACTGATTGCATTCACTACGTAAGCCACAAAGATGAGTCTTGTTGATCAGTAGATGACATTACAGCACATTTTCCCTGTCTTGTTTCACGTGTTTCGACCCAGCCTTGTTTATCCTTGTTCTCCTTTTTAGCCACCTGCCTTACGACCTATAGCCTGTTTACTGACTACGATTCTGGACTGCCTGTATATATATATATGTCTTGACCGTGCCTGTATTGCTTGCCTGACTACGATTAAACCTGCATATTGGATCTTACCCCAGTTGTGTATGTCATCTCCCCCACCGTTACAGTTAGGTCTGACTTTGCTTAAAAAAAAGTCTTGTCACTACAGAAATAATGTTTAGTATAGAATATAAAGTCATTATGCAGTGAAGAAAAATTTAATATTGTGGATGACTTCCATGAGCTTGGAGGACTGCATCCATACATCTCTGCAGTGACTCAAAAAACATTAATAGTCATCTGGACTGGCAAAGAAAGCGTTCTTGCAGGACTCCCAGAGTTACACCACACATGCTCAATAATATTCAGGTCTGGGACAGAAACGTTGATGTGGAGGCTGAAGTATGAGAAAAAGCGCTATTCTGCTGAAAAATTCCTGTGGTTTGTATTGTAATGGCCAGCACAAATGTCTTACCTCCAAGCTGTTGATGTTGCCATCCACTCTCTAGATCTAACACACGTCCCGATACTGAATGTAACCCCAAACCATGATTTTTCCTTCACCAAACTTGACTGATATCTGTGAGAATTTTGGGTCTATGCCGTTCCACTGGGCCTTTTACAGTACTTTTTTTGGGATGCAGTTCAACAGATGATTAATCTGAAAAATACCCTCAGCCACTTCATGATCAACTAGAAATTAAGTTTTTATTTGTTGCTCTTACAACTGGGATCGGAGACAAGACGTTTGTCAGGTAGTGTTATCTTAGAACCGTTTATGGAACCATGTGTAAGTTTTTTTAATTTGGCTCCTAACTATCTGACAAACCCTATGCTCCCTACATTCCTACTTCTTTTTTTAACAATGTAAAAAATTGGACAAACTGGAGCGATATATTTTCAAAATAATCTGTTTTGTACTGCTAAAATTAACTAGAAGCAGTTGATACCAAAAGCCTAGCTCATTCAACACAGAAATGTCCACACATTTTCACATATTGAAAATAAGGTGTTTCAATAGCTTGTTTATGATAAATGTGACCGAGAACCAACTAAAAAGGATGGCTCTGTACATTTAGAGGTCATAATACTGAGTGATGCTGTCAGTTCAACATCCTGGTCCTTCCAAAGGCCGCCTAACAGTCCTTTCCTCTTTCATATTAGTGATTTAAATCTCCCATTAACTGTAGCACTAAATAACAAGGGGAAAAGGTCAGAATTTGGGGAAGAGATAAAAGATGAGAACTCCTGGCTGCCGGACAGAGGTGTGCTGACAGAGAACAACAAACTCTTCAATCCCCGGTGATCACAAATAAGAGGAAAAGTTCACATCTGTGGGGCTACGGATACTTTACTCAGATATTTACTTTGGAAAATTAGCACACATTTGCGGGTTTCGCTGAGGAGAAGTGGAATTATAGCCGCTGCCTTTTTCCACAGTAATCTTTTTTCAGACCTCAGTCAAAGGTCAGCAGTCATGTTTCTGGTGTGTAATTTTATACACATTAACAGTTTATTATTGAATTTCAGGTTCATTATTCTTAATTGCTGTAAAAAAAAGAAAGTCAAATATTTATCCAGTCATGATTTTGAACTATTTTACACATTCTTGAGGCCTGTTTACACCAAAGATGATAAAAATCCAAAAATCATTCTAAATATGAATGAATAGCATGAGTCCTCAACAGCACTGTAACAGTAATCAGACAAGAACAAAATTATGATATACTAAGTCAAAGTTTTTTAAATTAAAAATCTTGATTCAATCTAATTTATGGATAAATGACTTGTGAGCTCATTAACTCAGCAGAACTCTGGATATTTTATAAGTAATATGCCATTATTGAGTCCTTATTTTTTTCAATCCAACACAAGAATATTGTGTGGTACCAGTTAAGATTACTTTTTGGGAATCAAGAAAATGGTATCCTAAAACTAACTTACCCAGAAAGTTGCAGGATTTTTTTTAATAACAACTTGAAGCAGAGGTTTCCAAACTCGGTCCTGGAGAGCTGGTGCCATGTTGATTTTAGCCCCAACTTACCTCGACACACCTGCAAGGATGTTTCTAGAAAACCTTGTAAGAGCTTGATTAGCTAGCCCAGGTGTGTCTGATTAGGGTTGGAACTAAACTTTGCAGGACAGAGTTTGAACACCCCTGACTTACGGAGAAAAGAAAATGTTCCTGGGAGATTCTTCAAACCTAGATTGCGTAATGAAAGCATTTAGAACCTACAGAGGACGTTCTGGGAATTATTTATTCATTCACTTTCTCTCAGCTTAGTCTCTATTTCAGAGGTCGCCACAGAGAAATGAATTTTATGTTCACTTCTCTGTATGTAAGAAGGTACACCCACTGAATGACTCTGGTTTACAAGTATCTTCTGGGACTGGTGCCTTCATACCCAAGTTCCCTTCTTCATCAGTCAAAAAGCCAGTATGCCCTACGTTGAAGGGAATCTTATCATTTGATTGTTCCCAGGGTTCGAACTGAAATAGGGAAGCGAGCCTTTAGTCATGCCGCCACCTCATCCTGGAATACTCTTCAGTCTAAACTAAAAATGTTTGAGCTCATCCCAATTACATCGTTTTGCTTTATCGTTTTTACCAAACAACAACAGTCTATTTCTCAATGTGTTTTTAATATATTGTATGTGGAATAGCTGAACAACTTAACTGTTTTTTATATTATATTATTTTTCTATTTATTATCAATACTATTATAATTTCTTTTTTATAAGTTGTGTGTTTGCGGACCTCTTGGTCAGGTCACCCTTGTATATGAGATCTTGATCTCAATGGGTTTTTCTCTTAAATAAAAAATCGAATGAACCCCCAATTATTCCAGCATATGTTTTATGCAGCGTATGCCCTTCTAGTACAGAAACATCCATACACGGGGGCGGATTTAGTGGATTGGGGGCCTTAGGCAACTTGAGCAATGGGGCCCAAGTCCTGAAATGTACCCCTTATTTAATTTCTTTTTTTTTTTTTGCTGCTTTTTATATTACTCAATCTTCTTTTCTATGTTTTATCTTAATGCAATCTCTATATTTTACATAATTAGTTTTCTTAAAATAAATTTGCAACAAAAATAATAAATCTACATTTTTAATAAATTAGACTGCTGGACTGCTCTATGATTGGGGGTGGTGGATATTTTATTAAATTGTTATTACATAACACTACATTATTATATTATATTTCATTAAATAATATTTATGTAAAAAGTTCTCTCACTATACAAAATATGATAGAAAATGATGTTATATATAGTTTATACTTTAAACAATAATTATATTATAAAAATATAGATATTTATTGGGGCCCCCAGATTTCCTAGGGCCCTAATCGGCCACTTATCTCGTTTATTGGTTAAATCTGCCCCTGCCCATGCACACTCATTCACACACACACACACACACACACTCTTACACTACGGCAAATTTAGATTATTCAGTTGACACATGTATTTGGACTGTGGGAACTTGGAGCACCCAGAGGAAACCCACATAAACACAGAGAGAACATGCCACATACTAACTGACCCAGCCAGGACTTGAATCAGCGACCTACTTGCTGTGAGGTGACAGTGCTTACCACTATGCCACCATGCCGTCCTGTTCTGGAAACAAAAAAACAAACAAAAAAACGCCAAAGGGGTTTGTCATAATTTTCACTTTTTAATCATAAATTCACATTTTTATCTCATCATTATGACTTTTGAAGTCACAATTTAAACTTTAAATATTCATGATATCAAGTTAGTTATCATTTCAACTTTTTAAATCATAAATTAAGTCATAATTTTGACTGATTGTTTGTGTATGTTTAAAAAAAAAAAAACATTTATTTTACAGATTATGCTCTCATGAAAATGAAGCCATTAGTGAAAGTGTAGTTTTTGGTGCATCGTTTATAGGTACCGGGAATGTGGTTTCAATGGTTTAACTAGTGTGTCTACGCTTCTTTCCTTTGGTAGTTAAACCAAGGTTAATTAAGTCTTTTGTTTCACTTAAACATACATTATTTATAACACTGTGCATTGGGATGTAAAAAATGTAAAGTATTATACTAGCTGTAGTAGGCTATATTATTAGACATTCACTCCGGCCATTATAAGAATGGATTTTTTGTGTGTTAAACCCGCATAACGAGACATGAGTGCATATATTTTGGCTTCCACCTTGAACTCATGAAGCTCCAGGTTTGGGAAACCATCAACTCACCTTGTGCTGTAAAATTATACCGTGATGATGGACGGCAGCTCGACTGCTTTGTAGACCCCACAATTATTATTGTTCGCGAGCTGGAGAACTTCAAAAGACATGCCTAAGTGACGTCACCACAATATTATTACAGAGAGAGGGAAGGAGAGAGAGAGAGAGAGAGAGAGAGAGAGAGAGAGAGCGAGAGAGAGAGAGAGAGAGAGAGAGAGAGAGAGAGAGAGAGAGACTATTATTCCTCACCTCGGACGATGAACAGGGTAGTTGTAGCAAAAGGAGCCTGAGAAACTATTTGACATTGGTAAGTTGCGAAAATGCCTTCGTTGTTTGATAAATGTGTTTGTTAACGATTCTATGAACGTTGACTATATTGCTAAATGAATCGATGCGGGCTCGGTCATCATGGCTATAGTTTGCCTATTTGTGTTTTTAATTTGATTGTTTGTAACGTTAGCCTAAGTTTTATCATTGTCGTCTATTACTGTCTTACAACTTCTTTAAATGTCGCGTAATGTTTAACAGCTTGATGTAGGCTTGATGTATCCTTATTACTTTTGCTTCTCGTCTATTCAGCAGCAACTTAGTGTTTATAGAAGCTGATGATATATAACCCAGGCCATGACGAGCAAATCAAATCACTGTGTTTTAGTACACAAATGCTACCATATAAGTAACGTATGTTGCGTTTGAATTGTTTGTTGATTTGTTTTTACATATATCTCGCCTTGTCATAAAATTCAAGGATCCTGTTGGAAGTGTACGGGACACTGGGAAAGACTGTGAATATGTGGATTGTACGCCATCTGCTGGTTCTTCTTATTCACCTGGTCCTCGGAAGCTTAGCGCAGCGATTCTCCAATGGCTATTATTATCAGGACATAGTTGGAAATGGAAACAGCAACGGCAATGGGGAGAGTATGTTTATTTGTTTATGTGTTGCACTTAAAAATAAAGGTTTGTGGTACAATCAAAACGTGGCCTTCACTGTGATGCCATAGGCTATAGGCCTTAAAACTTTTTGGTTCCCCAAATTCCTAAACATTTATTATCAATTTTTTAAGAATATTTTTTGAATGGCCATGGATGTTAAAAGTTTTTCATGAAACCACTGAGTCCAATAAAAAATATTTTATAAAGAACTCCTGTGTATTTTTATTTGGTTAAATACGAACCTGGATATAGGCTATTTGAATAGCCCATGAGGTGTAGTCAACATTTGAAGTGAATAAAAAAACCTTTTCAAAAACTAGAGAATAGGAATTCAATAGTTTTGTGACAACTTTGAAGAAAGGTTTTGATGCGCTTTAAATGTTGACTAGCCTATATTCTTCAAAAATGCATTACGTTTTATTCTGCTTTTTAAAAATCTTATGCTTTTTTATGTTTAAAATTATATTTAATTAACTGGAAAAAAAACTAATAAAATGAGAAATGAGCTTTAAAATGCAACTAATTTTTCACATATTCATACATGCCTTTATTGTTTGTTTTAGTTTACTTACACAAGATCCGTCTTCATGTTGAATCCCCGGAGACTCTGGTGTCCGCTGTTCAGGGCAGTAACGTGACGCTGCCGTGTCATTACCGCTACGAGCCCGCGCTCAGTGCGCCCCGCAGGACGCGGGTCAAGTGGTTCTGGCAACCCGTGAACGGCGAAGGCCAGGAACATGACGTCATGGTTGCCATCGGCACACGTCACCGGAGTTACGGAGACTTCAAAGGACGCGTGCGGCTCCGGCGTAGCGCTCCGGGCGACGCGTCTCTCGTCATCAACCCGCTACAGTCCGACGATACCGGCCGCTACCGGTGCGAAATTATAGATGGTCTGGAGGACGAGAGCGTCACCATGCAGCTGAAGTTTCGAGGTCAGTCATAGAAAAAAACCTTATAGTCCTTCATTACCTTTACACTAAAACAGCCACAATTCTATAGATGTTGTAGGCTATTATTATTATTAATAACATTAAATACTCTTATCAATATAGGCTCATGATTAGTATATTAACATAAACATTCATTAATTCATTCATTTTCTTTTCGGCTTAGTCCCTTTATTAATCAGGGGTCGCCACAGCAGAATGAACCGCCAACTTATCTAGCAAATGTTTTTACACAGCGGATACCCTTCCAGCTGCAACCCATCAGGAAACATCCATACACACTTATTTACACACACTAACACACTATGGTCAAGTTGATCATATTGACGTGCTACCCACTGCGCCACCTAACATAAACATAAAATGTAGAATTAGCACATCAAACAAAATATATCATTTTTGAGTTTTATTACTAACAATTAGGCCTACTTATATGATTAAGTTATGAAATAATGTGTTGGTTTTTATATTACACAAATTATTTAGTTTGGAAATGCATTCTTATTTTCTAATTGTGAAATAATTATTTATAAAATAATTAATTAGCAAGTAAAATATTTTATTTCCCAGAGATGGGTTGCGGCTGGAGGAGCATCCGCTGCGTAAAAACTTGCTGGATAAGTTGGCGGTTCATTCCGCTGTGGCAACCCCGGATTAATAAAGGGACTAAGCCGACAAGAAAATGAATGAATAAAATGTTTTACTTAAAATCCTCAAATTTAGTAGGATTTAAGCAAGTTTATAATATTTGTCTTATTCTACAAATGTCTGTCTTCCAAACTTAAAGCTTTCTCATCAAAAGATTACAGAATATAACAAAGTTTTGCTCACACACACACACACACACACACACACACACACACACATATATAACCTAACTATAGATCACATTTTTATAAAATGTTTGTTTTTAGATTATTATATAGAAAATATAATTGCCAAACAATTGATTGACTATAGGTCTACAAAATACTCTCAAAGCAACAGAATAAAGAGCATCCGTCAATTTCTCATTTTGCACTCCACAGGTGTGGTGTTCCCCTATTACTCCTCCAAGGGGCGCTATTTGATGAACTATCACGAGGCAAAAGAAGCCTGTGAGAAGCAGGATGCACACCTGGCCACCTTTGAACAGCTGTTTGCTGCTTGGGAAGAGGGGCTGGATTGGTGTAACGCTGGATGGCTCACTGACGGGACGGCTCAATATCCTGTCTCAGTGCCCCGAGTGGCCTGTGGAGGCACCAACATGGCAGCTGGTGTAAGGAGCTATGGCATTCGAGACAAAGATCTAGATCGGTTTGATGCCTTCTGCTTCACTGCATCTATAAGAGGTAAAATGTTTGTATATATTTAGCTGAGGAAGATTCATTTAAGTTCAGTGTCCAACTGTTTCCAACTTTGGCTCCATGAAATTTCCTGGTAGATTCTCCTAAGGTTACTGTACATGTGGCTGTAATTTTCATTCTGAAAAATGTTGTTATTTTATGACTATTTGTTGATGTTGACAAGTTGGATGAACCTGCTAGCAAGAATTCATGAACTTTTCCATTTGAATCAGTCATGCAAATATTTAAAAGCTGTTCGCCTTGATGTCAGTTGTATTTAGATTTTGTCCTGGATTGGCATTCGATTCGTTTAGTGATGTTTTATACATAAAACATGAAGAAAAAAAGACAAAGTTGTAAAATAGTATTAAATTAAGATAAAATTAATAATTAAATCCTATGATTAAAATGAATATTATAATATTATTATATTAATATAATAAATTAATTCTAATATTTATTATTTAATATTTAAAATATTAATTCTAATATTTAATATGTATTAATATTAATAATTAATAAATTAATTCTAGTCATTTAAAGCTGAATTTTTAGCATCACGTGAAAAGTTACCTTATATCTTTCTTCAACTTCAGGTGAGGTCTACTTTCTGCAGCATCCCATTAAACTAAATTTCAGTGAGGCGGTGGAGGCCTGTCAGACCGACGGAGGTCATATTGCTAAAGTTGGCCAGTTATACGCCGCCTGGAGGTTTGTGGGATTGGATCAGTGCGACGCGGGCTGGTTGGCTGATGGTAGTGTACGTTACCCGATCGTTCACCCCAGGATGAACTGTGGTACATCAGAACCAGGAGTGCGCAGTTTTGGCTTTCCTCCCAAACATTTAAAACATGGCGTGTATTGCTACAAAGTCCACTGGTAAACTCTATAATACATGTAATATGTATAAACACTTCTGTGGAATGGGACAGTTTAGTACTTTTTCTACACTACTGATATTCGAATCATATTATTGTGTTTGTTACTGTATGTGTCTTTATTTGATATAGATGTGTATACATAGATGCCTCATTAGGGTCTTTTAAATGGGATGCTAAATAACAACATAGGCTCATTCTGAAAATGTGGCCCTATATACATTTCTGGAGATCATGAATTATGTAGCCAGAGCTACGTATGACTGCATATCATCTTTAAAACGAATGAAATGGGGCGGTATGACTTCCTTTTCTCGCTTACCAGCAGACCTCTTACCTCCATATGGGAGAGGGGTCTGGATGCAGACCTGGTGCAGTACAATCTGAGCTGCATCTAATGCTTTTTAATGGGCTAACCTAAGCCCACCTGTCACAGTGACATCATTCACTCTATTGAGTGCCTTGCGTCTGACATTGCATTGCTGAGTGATGCAATTTCAGCTTGCATCATAAAGGCTGCATCCTGATACTATTACCATATGGACGTTCTGCTGTTACCAGTTACCGGTAGCTTGACACGTACGTCGGCAGACTTGAGACGCAGAGCAGAGTCAACCATGATGACGGGGTTTGAGACTGGTGAAAAATGGTTCCAGAATGCAGGTGAGACAAAACCCAAAGAATAATTGGTCAGTCAGCAAGTCAGTGAGTCAACAGTGGCGCAAATGGCACTCGTCAGAGGAATTTGAGATCTGAAAAAGCGTTCACAGCAGCCTCTGGTGGATTCGTGAAAAAAAAAAAACTTAGCTCCTGGAACTTATTTTGCTTTCTCCAGAAATGTATATAGGGGTACGTATTCAGAATGAGCCTGGCTTGCTAAATAAGCTATATGCCAATGGTCAAAGTTAGTCGGTAAACACTTGATAACACTTAATAAACAATATACAAGACTTCAACAAATGATTATAACAAACTAATGTTAGCATACTACAACATGAGATCATATTGTATGATTACATATTTTAAAAACACTGTGTAATTTAGAGGGATAGTTCCCCCAAACATGACCATTTCCTCATTCATTTTATAAATATCTTTCTTTTGTTGAACACAAAACAAAGAATGTTGGAGACCGGTAACCATTGACATCAATATTGGGAACAAAAAACACTGTTTAAGTCAATGGCTACTGGTTTTCTACATTTTTCATAATCTCTTTTGTGTTCAGTAGAAAGAAAGATACTCAAACATGTTTAAAACAAGTGGAGGATGAGTAAATTATGACATAAATGTCACTTTTAGGTGATCCTACCCTTTAGATGTAATTTTTACAAAAAGAAGCTGCACAATGTTTTAGCTTCTTTGAAAACGCATTGATTTTTATTGTAAGTAGCAGCACATTGACTGTTTAAAGATGGCTGTCGAAAGTGGCATCTATCTATATATACATATCTATGTTGGCTTGATATGATATGTCCTGAAATTCTTCTAAAATGTTTCTACTTTTTGGCAAAATTACATTCTCAGCGCTGATTTACTTATTCAAAACTTAAAACATGAAGGGTAAAGCACACTTTTGTTCCATCCCTTATGAAAATAATCATGATTTTATTAATAAAATAGTACAATATAAAAACACTTAATTTTGTGTGTGTGTGTGTGTGTGTGTGTGGGTATTGATTACCATTTGTATAATGGCAGTTTTATAACAAATATGGTTCAACTACGGTTAGATTAATAATTTGTGGTTTAATTGCAAAAGCCATGCTTCCTTTTTAGTAAAACAATGGTTATTTTTCATAAGAGGGTTTAATGGTGAATCGTGTTTTAAGGCTAAGTCATAAATTTGGTGATTGGTCTATCTTTAAAAACATTTATGATCCATTTGCTTGAGATATGTCGAATTTTAATGGATTGAAATCAGCTGATCAGTGACATCTACTGGTATCGCATTTATATGCATGACTTTTTACTATTATATGAGACATCTTCATCCAAAAAGCTCAATTTCCTGTAAAATAAATTCAATAAATAGTTTTTTTTACCAACTGAAATTGTGTATGTGTGTTTACTTTGAGACATTTCAAATATTTAATATTTAATCTAAAAACTACTGCACACTCTCAGAAAAAAATAGTATATGTTGTACCAAAGAAGGTACAAACCCTTGTCATGGGGGCAGTGCCTTTTCATGGAACAGAATTGTACCTTAAGACAAAGAAACTAATTTGAACCATTGCAGTTTGCACCTTTAAGGACCTGATTTGTACCATGGGAAACCAAAATTTATCTTTGGTTTTTAAAACCTGCAGATACATTATCGTACCTTCATCAAAAGTACAAATCTGATCTATGGAGGTACCACTACAGTGACAAGACAGTTTCTACCTTAATAGTGTCAAATGTGTTTCTTCAAGAACTATTAAAAGGCATTTTGCTATATCCAAAATACCTCAATTTATTTTCAGTAAATCTAAAACATTAAATACATTTATTTAATATCTTTTAACATAAATCAAAATATCTATTTGTGCATATCATTTCACAACACTTTTCACAAAAATGTTACAGAAATACATTCTCCTACAATACAAAGCAAGATAAGACCTTTGTGATCACTCAAAAGTTAATTTAATGAACTATATTTTAAAAAAGAAATTGAATTATGCAATAGTATTGTAACGAGATATGCATAATGTTTGATTGGTTTTACAGTACTATAATGTCTGCATGAACACTTTGCATAAGCTGGACTTTTGCCAGCTCACGTGCATATCAATAATAAAAATGTATTTATCAGAAAATGCCTAACAAATGTGCATTAAAAACGCCTTAAATGTTTAGTTTACTATCGTTTTTTTTTCGTATTAAAGAACTTAATAAGTAATATTTATGAGTTTCTTTAAAGTCATGCTTTTAAATGATGATTCTTGTTTTAATATGGAAATTATTCATAAAATCACCTTCAGCAGTAGTTATTTAAAGAGATATTGTTATAAAGAAGGTGTTGGCCAACACTTATGTATCTTTTTTTTTATGGGAACAATTGTGTACCTTCATTTACCTTCAAAAGTCAATGGTAAAAATGGAAAAAAAAGTTAAATATTAACAATAGAAAATTTCTTTTTTACTTCAAAGTAACTAGTAGCTTATCTAAAGAATAAGCATAATGCATACACATACCAAAACGCATACCCATACACATACAAAAGTAGTAACTAATCGTGCTACTTAGTTACTTTTAATGTAAAGTAATGCAGTAAGTTACTTTTAGGTTGCTTTTGCATGACTTGTTCTTATCTGAGGCTTGATCTCTTTCAAAACATGCAGGGTTTTCCCCTTCTTTTTTAAATAGAGAAGCTCTGCAATTAACAGTGCAATAACCTCCATTTTCCTTATAAAAAAAAACACATTAGCATTATAATTCAGGATAGTTTTATCTTTTAGGAACTTTCTGACCCCAGAGATATACAATCTGTATATACAGATTAATAAAAGCTTAAAGCAATGTGTTTGATACTTTTTTGTGTCTTTTTGCTTGTTTGTTTGTTTGTTTGTTTTATTTTATTGAATGCATAAAATGACTGCCCACTGAGACAATATCATTTTTCCTTTTCTTTAATTCATTGAAATCAATGAATGAAAATACTTCCATCGCAGAAATAATTCCATCCACAATGCCACCCAGTGTGTGATTCAACGCGACAGTGGATTTGCATACGTGACCAACAGAGGGCGCGCTACTGTAGATACGTCAGAGTTCCCGCAGTAAAGCTAAATCAACAAGATTCAAAAACAAACTTAAGCTGTTTATTCTTTAAACCAGATTTGGTGGGTAGGTCTAATGATTATGCCACCCTTTCCACAGGATTTCATGATCCATTGGCGTCAAGGATATGCCCTGTTTACACCTGCTTCCCAAACATGGATGGAAGGCAGGGGAGGAAAAGCACATGAAAAGCCAGCAGTGTTTTCTCAGTTTGGTTTTTCCACTTCGCTAAACGCATAAAGATGCACAGTTTTAGGTAAGAGTGGGATATTCATACACTTTTAGCTTCTCATTTCCCCCTGAGAAAATGTCATGAAGTAGGTACTTTGTTGTTTGTTGTATAATTAAGTTTTTAGAAGTTTGTAATGTTTTCCCCATGTCCCATTTTGACCTGCCTCAACATTTTCGGCTATTTTAGAAAACACTTGACAATGCTCAGTTTCTATGGGTTTACTGGATTTGATAGGCATAAGCTTGAGTAGCATATTCAGTTTTCTATAGTGTGATAATGTTATTCGGTTACTTTTTTTTCTTCAGAAAATGACAAATAGTCAGAAGAATCAGGGTTATTCAATTAAATTTAGCACATCAAATATTGATGTCGTGTGTGTTGTCTAAAAATGATAAAAGCTAATCGTTTTGACTACGCTGCATGATTACCGTGAATAATTTCCTTCTATAACATTCAGAACTGAACAAAATCATCACTAAACTAGAACAAAACCAGCGTTGTGTGGAAAAGAATGATTCTTTAAAAGAATTAGATGATGATATTGAAAAACACTTTAATTCACACACATTTAGTCTGTTTATTTCAGGGGTACATGTATGAGCTCAGCATTGAGCTGATGGTGACAGAGTGCACAAGATGGACATTGCCGGGAACAGAGCAATTCTGTCAATCACTGTTAGGGACATTTTGTGTATTGGCTTATTAGGTAAACATATATTTTGAGACCATGTTAAAACTCTTTTGTTCTTGTGCACTCATTTGCATATGGGTACAGACATATACAAAGTTTGATAGGTACGGAATTCTAAAAGACTGTTATGACTTCATTATGAAGGCCAAGTCGAATTATCTTGCCTTGTGAGATAATTAAGAAAAAGTGAATAGATTGCACATGAAATAAATGCTACTGAATTACAGTAAGGTCAGTGACAGAATTGTCACAAATATAGTTTTATCATTACAGCTACTGTATACTGGGAATTATGTCTTTCTAATCTGAGTGAACACTTGTATACTATGCAAGCTAGTCTAGAAGAAGCTGGGGAATTTGTCTTTCACAGTTTCACAGAAAGATACAAGACATTTAAACTACAACAAACAACAAGACAAGTAAAAAAGACATCTTAATTAATGTATTTGAAATACTACAGTACTTAAGTGTAATTGCGTCCAGCTGTGGTCATTAAAGCCTTTTGTCATGTTCATTATACCTAATTTTCTTTGGACTTTGTCCCAATTTGCATACTACATGTCTTAATCAGGGTTGACAAAACCCTGTTTCTAAAGCAGCGTTCACACTGGACTTAAGTCCCCATTGACTTCCATTCATACGCACGCAAATGTGCCAGACTGGAAACACAAGGTCATGCGACAAGTTTTGCAGATACCTGCGTTGAAAAGTTCAAGCTTGGTGAACTCTGACCTGCAAAATTGCATCACTTCACTGTTTGAGACCAATCAAGGATCAAAACATAGCCTCTCTTTACAGGAATTGGTCGCTTTTTTAATTGACTACTCATCTTGTTTAATCCCGCCTCTTTTCACAGCGCTGTACGAAAGAATTTCACAAGCTCAAACTCCAGTATGACTGCAGCTTAAGCTGCATATTTAAATTTTCTGTCAAGAGAGGTCATGTTTTGATCCTCGATTTGTCTCACGCACTCAAGTGATGTGATTTTGTAGGTCAGAGTTAACCAAGCTTGAACTTTCCAACGCAGCGATCTGCGAAAGTTGACGCACGACCTTGCGTTTCTGGTCTGACGCATTAGCCTGCGTATGAATGGAAGTCTATGGGGAGA